TTAATGTCTTTTAATGTCTTCAGTGTTGAAGTGATAAGAGTTGGTCAAAGTGTCTGGATGAATTGGGATGTATTGATGTACTTTGAGAAGAAAGAYACTCCAACTAGAGCAAGGTATTTACTAAAATTGTTGTTTTAAAAAAAAAAAAACATGAAAAATTGCGTTGAATGCATTGCTCATGCGTTGTTGTATAATTGTGTGGCGTCGCTACACACACATTGGCTGTGGAATTTTCTTTCCGAAATGTCCTTTTATGCTAAGGAAAGGTTAAGGAATAGGAAAAGTCATTTAGCTCCATGCCATTCCTGCCTTCTTTGATAAAAAAAGGGAGGCATTGCGAATATGTAACAGCCTTCGAACACAAAAGTCAAGGAACGCAAGAGTTGCAGCGGCCTGGGTAGTACTAAACAACGAAACACCGAAACCAAACGAAATGGTACCGAAACGAAATAGGACAATTTTTTTTAGACAAGGCATACAGTTGAAAAGTCGTCTAATTGTCAAGATGTACAAGTGCGTTCTGTTTACATCAAGTTCGCTTTTCGGCTTTCATTGTTGATTTTGTATATAAGCTCATTAATTATATATCATACTTTTATTTTGCTGCCTTGTCTAAACGTTTCGTTTCGGTGTTTCGTTTCGGTGTTTCGTTGTTTAGTACTGCCCCAGCGGCCTTGTATTTCAGCACCTGTGTTGTAGCTACTCCAGTTGACAATAGAAAAAGGTTTTAAAAATAGCTTTATTGTGATTCGCAGTGTTCACATAAGTTTGTCCTCCTGCGCCAGAGTTTAAGTGGAGTTTGCCTAAGTAATACTGAATATGTACTAACGGAATCATCTCGATTKTTATAGCATTTGCGGTTTTAGCTACTGTGATCCTTTATGAATAACTTTCATTGTAGAACCACAACGTTAACCGAAGAACTTGGCCAGATTGAATACATCTTTTCTGATAAGGTATTATTAAGTATCTATTGTGCTAAACAGATTTTATCAATTAATCAATTATTGCTATGTATTTTTGTAACCAGAAGGTTCTGAAATGGTTCTTAATAATATACACTTTTCAAAACAGCCTTTTTTGAACACGCCAAGATGTCGTTTTTACGGCCGCGGTTTCCTATCTAAATGTAAATAGCCCAAATTGACGACATTTTTGGGGGAAAAATACCGCATTTGAGTACGATGATTACAGCTTACAGCTGTTTTTTGAGTATAGCCAATATATATATATATATATATAGCCAATAGTATGCCGTTAATTCATCGCACTTTAATACACCGAATGGAAGATTTGCATTTTCGAAATTAACATTCAAAGCGAATTCTTATTATATCCTGTTTTATCGTTCAGCAAGAAGCCGGCGTTTGTGTAGCCTCCTTTGCAGACGTTATTAATATGACCGATACTAATAACGTCTGCAAAGGAGGCTAACTATATAGTTTTGCATCTGCGTTTTTTCTCATTTTTCAGACTGGAACTTTAACCCAAAACGTCATGACATTTAAAATGTGTTCCATCCAAGGCACGATGTATGGTAAGATATGATTTGTATGATATCATTAACACTTTACCATGATGCATTTCGGGTGTTTACAAACCTCGAGGTCCGCGAAAAGCATGCGCGAAATCACGTATGATAGCATGTCATATATTGATGATTCTGGGATGACTTTAACTTGTCCACGTGCATCCGAGAATCCTTGCGTGATTTTGTCAGTCATATACGAAAAATCGCCAGTTTTGATTTTCAACTTATCATAAAGAGACTTTGAAGAACTGATCTCTTTTTAAAATAAAACAGACGATCGCAAAGGATTTTTGGATGAAAGTGGGCCTTTTTGACGGATCATAAAAGATCCCAAAGGAAGGATACCAATATTATAAAAAAAATAAATGAAAATAAAGCTCTAAATGCATTACATATAAATTATGGATTTTTAAAAACATTACAGCGGAAATAAAATAAATTAAAGATAGAATGGTCACTATTTGGTGTTTGTGATGCACAAACATTGAGCTGTTAATTCCAACTTTCATTTTTTTAAAGAGTTTAAAAATAAGGGACCATGGTTTACCGGCATCCCTTTCGAGCCTTTGCTTATGTTTGAAATTAAAAATACATCGTAATATAAGCAAAAACGTATTATTTATTATCCTTTTATGCTATATGAATGGAKATACTGTAAGTTTCGATCTTGAGGTATCAAGGTTGTCAATAATCAACTTTAGATATTTTGGTTCGATGACTATGTACAAAAGAACGCACACGAGGCTCCGGGGAAACAATGGATAATCTTGATTTATTCTTTTATTTCCCCGGAGCTTCGTCTGCAATTCTTTTGTGCATGGTCACTGAACCAAAATATCTAAAGTCGACTATTAACTCCTCGTAGCATGCTAACTAATATTAAAGATACTTCAGTAAAAGTACGATACGCGTATTCAGTAAAAGTACGCGATAGTGAGTTATTTTAGGGTTACCATAATCGTGAAAAGTTGCTCTTTCAAATGACTACCAAAAGCACAAGGTCAGGCACGAAATTCTTGGGGCATTGGTTCAGCTCTGCCGTTTGTCGTAAACGTGATGCCTAAACTCTCTATTGTCGCGAAAGTCCCCTGATACCTTAAAACCAATACGAATTGCAAATGGATATTTTGAATTCACCTTATTTTCCATACTTTGTAAAATCTCAAACACGATCGCATTGAATGCTGGTTGACCATGGCCCTTTAACTTACCTATGATGGTGATCTAATGAAAGTCTAACCTGCAMTAGGACAGCACAGATCCAACACTGACCTTCTTGACCCTGCATGCTCAACAAAACCTTCACTGTGCACGTCTTATTCTTGTCCTTTTCATAAGTGCTTCTTCAGTTGTCCACTGCATGGTAAATATCATTGTAGCATCAATGTATTGCTGTATTTGACTGAATAGATGCCCGTTTCTTTTCGTTACTATGTTTGAAATACAAACTGAAAGTGCTTGTTTTTTATGTTCTTTTTTATTTGAGTTTTTTTAATGAAATAAACTTAATAGACCTCTAAAGCTTTTACGTCATGTACCGTATRCGCAATGCATTGTAGGATATGTTTGGGACAGAACATGGCRGATTTCTTTTGATTTCTCTTGAAACTGATCCCACAATGCATTGAAAATCAAGTAGTGACGTAAAAAGTCTACTCCCAGGTAATTTACGTATAAGAAAGTTAACACTAAGTGTTACACTCTAAATTTTTTTCTACATTCATAAGTTTTATGTTCTAATAAGGAACACTCACTTACCAATAAGAGGTCTTTGGCTTTTACGGTGTCTATTCAGCAGATGTGGTCTTATTATCCTTCACATTTCATCCACTTACGAACAAATGTTTTCATTGACAAGTGCTTGCCTAAAGAAAGTAATTTTCTGTGTTTCTTTCTTACTTTATGATTATTAGATAAAGTTATTCAATTGTATATAAACATCAATTTATCATCAATAATAATGGGTTATAAACTCACTAGCTAACTATTTGTAATTGTAAACTTCACTAACTTAAAGTTCTGATTATTTATTATTGATCATTATTTTCTTAATCCTAATAGACTTGCAATAAATAAATATACCGATAAAAATGTATGAGTTGAGACATGATAGTTCAGTCCCGTGAAAGCTCCTGAGAACGTCTTTGTTTGATCCACCAGAAGTGTGCACTGACACAACATTAAAGCGCTCTAGTATGTGAATCAAAATTGCGCCTTCCAAAGTCTAAGGAAGCAGTTAGTACGCTGCGCTCTGTACGATTTACTAATAGCGAAAGTGGTTTCTTCAATAGGCAAAAACGATGAGCTAGAAGATGATCATATATTGGACATCAGTAAACTACAGGTAAAGATCGTATTCTTTGGTTGTTTCACTCAGTTTCATTCTCATTCCCAGATATATCCCCGGAAACCCCAGACGCTTGGGTTCCCGACGTTGTCCCAGAAGGTGGTCAAAGCGCAAATAAGCACTAAGAATTCTTGAAAAACTCGTAACTCAGCTAAACAAAATTCCACACGGAACAAGAAGTTGCGTGTAGTAGAATTSTGCATTAATATTGATWGATGTTGTTTGACTTCTTATCCGCAAAACACATACAACAATATTGCATATGCACACTTATAAACAACATTGATAATAACGATTGACGTATGAAACGTTTTCTCTTTATTGCTYGTTCTATTSAAAACATCCTTTTAACTTTCAAGTCCTCACAGGCAGATTTCTCAAGGAACCATTACTACGACGGCAAATTTCAATTTTGTGACCAGGCATTGATCGATGATATCCACAATAACAACAAGGTAGAAAGTCTTCTTTATTCCTCTTGTTGATAGTCTTTTCTTATTTATTTTCTTTCACAATTCTTTCCATTCTGTTTTTTTCTTAAAAATGACAATGTAAAACACATTCCACATGACCCACATAATGTCTTTGAAAATTCAATGAGCGTATGTACGCTAACATTTCCATTGTTTATTTCTTCAGGATTGTCACGAGATGATGAGATTACTTGCYGTATGTCACACTGTCATGGTTGATAACATAGGAGGTAAACATGCAKCTGAACAAAAATGTTAGAAAATCGCGCAAAGGCTCTTGGATGCACCGGGACCGTTATATACAATTTTGTGCTGCTAAGGTTAGACAGAAGTTTATCGCGGAYATACCCAGGATTTTCTTAGGGCAGAAAAGCGGGCACTAAGAAGGGAGCACGGTAAGAACATTGTCTCAGGGGTGACACAATCTGCAAAATAAGAAAGAGTTATCAAAGGAACAGATTTCTTTCATTCTCTTGTGTTGGTTCAGTTACTGTTCAGAAAAGTGAAATCTTTATTTATTTTTAAATAAATTAAAATTAAAATTAAAATTTTGCTGTAGGAGATTTGCAGTATCAAGCTCAGTCCCCTGACGAAGCAGCCTTAGTGACTGCCGCCAGGAATTTTGGTTTTGTGTTTAAGGTATGTATGTGCAGTAAGCTTTTTTCGCGATTTTTGGATTAAAAGGTCCAAGTATGAAATGTACACGATACGATTTTCACCTGTTACAAAAATGGCAAAAAATGGCGAAAACGTCTGAAATGGTTCTACAACAAAGGCGTACAAAGTTCAACTTATCGTATTACCATTTATACTACTGACGAATTCGCATTTTGTATCGCGCTTGTGAGGACTTGTTTTCACTTTTGATACGATTGTCGCATTCGACAAGAAATTGATGTGTAAGTTGTAGTGGATGCGTACGACTTTCAATTTATCGTACGACCATTCGATCATACACGCAAATGCTAGGTTTTGTGGTCACTCTCAGTAACCATGTTGCTAATATATCTTTCAATGGAATTTTTATATCTGGTTATCGTTGTTTTGGCGTCGTTGCTCTATCCTTCGTTTTCAAGCTACGTCACAGCGGYCATCTTGGAGGAACTTCAACAAAGGATTTCTCATTAGTATCTATTGTTMATTCCTCCAACATGGCCGCCKGTCTTTTGTCTTTTGAATCTCATGGAATCTCTTTTGAATCTCAATCCTGCTTTAATTTGGTTTCAGGAGCGATCTCCTACCACCATTACTATTGATGTTCTTGGACAAGAGGTAAAAGCAAAATTGTAAAAAATAGCTGAAAATTCAAATCGAAACCAAAGTAAAATATTTCGTTCTAACTATATAAAATGTCTTTAGGAACATTWTGAGCTGCTTGCCATTCTTGACTTTAACAACGAAAGAAAACGAATGTCGGTAAGTCAACTTATGTGGCTCGTATTTTTTAAGCAATGACTAATATCTAATCATCCAGTCAGACGAGCAAAGTATACGTCTCAGACATTTATGAAATGAGCCTTTTTCTTATTAATTTGTATTTGTAGGTGATTGTTAAGCACGATAGTGAAATTAAGCTGTACTGCAAAGGAGCAGGTAAATACAGTAAACTTCCATGCAGTATCTAGTATTTTAAGGAATCTTGGGACAACCTTTTTGCAATTCTTGTATACTATAACATTGGTTAATTAGTGTGTTGACACTGTAGGCTTATTGTATTTGTCCCGTAAACTTCCAGTATCTAGTATTTCAATAAATCTTGGAACAACCTTTTCGCAACTCCTGTAATACTAAAATACGATTATTTCATTGTAGACTCCATTGTATTTGAGCGATTGGATCCATCATGCAAATCGATGATGGATAAGACATATGAACACTTAAATGTAAGTGATAATATAGCTAGACGTATGAACCCGTGAAACAAAACTTGACTATTAAAATGTGATAGTCAAATAGACACAAGAAAGCGATTCAATTAGATCGTACAAAGGTGTATTAGTGTTACTTTGTGAGGTCATTAAACCCGTGAAACAAAACTTGACTATTACAAAATAGTGAAATAGACACAAGAAAGCAATGCAATTAGATCATACTAAGATGTATTAGTGTATTGAGTTAAGTCTAAGGACAACAGAGCTGACAGAAGAATTATATTGTCGCGTTGAAAACATTTCGCAAACGTTTCAAGAAACTTTACCTTGCGTCAAAATCAAGTTTAGTTTATCTTCGAAAGTCACTGCATTAATTGATATTTTGTTGTTTGTGCAATAGACATTTGCTTGTGAAGGACTCAGGACTTTGGTCACGGCGTACAAGAATATTCCTACTGATGTGTACAAGGAATGGAATCATAGATATCATCAAGCAAGGTAATCATGGTCAGCGGTATAGGGCGAGGGTATGACGATCGGTTAACGATGATCGAACGATGATGTGACGACGATGTTACGGAATATATSGTGTGACGATGATGCGAAGAWGTGACTGGWTAGCCTAATGTAGGTATGAAGAAGTTGGTGTTATATAGTATGGTGCAAAAGTTTCTAGGTACAATAGTGTTGACGTAGTGATGATTACACTAAAAGAAGTAGTGATGATGCACYTGGATAATATATACATGATGCAATGATGACGCAACGATGGTKTAATGACGTAGTAATGATGATGTAAGTGTGATATAAACATAATGGAACGATGACGCAGATCTGATATAAAAACGCAGTAGTGATGATGTAACTACGATATAACGATGACGCAGGAGTGATTTCATGACGTTGTCATGATGTAGCAATGGTTTAATGACGATGCTCAAAACGATGATTTATTTTGATATTAATCATTTTCTTGACTATTGTATTAATATTATAAAAATATTTATCTTACTAATAAGCATTGCCATGGAGAACCGAGACGAAAGAATTCAAGCGGTAAGAACCAATGTTTTTAACATAATGACTGACATCCAAACTCCCTACAACTCAAATGTTTGTAATTTTACTAGCTTTATGAAGAAATAGAAAAGAACCTTATTCTAATCGGAGCGACAGCCATTGAAGATAAGCTACAAGATGGTGTACCTAGTACTATTGCTACTCTAGCAGCTGTAAGTACTCTAACACATTCGTTTAGGATAGCTAATACCACTCAAAAGTGCTCATTTTCTAGCAATGCTTGACAGTGTTCATTTAACCATATCCATCATTACATCCAGGCTGATATCAAGATATGGGTCTTAACCGGAGACAAACCCGAGACAGCTGTAAATATAGGATACTCGTGCCAGCTCCTCACGGACGAYTTCACCGACGTCTTCACCATTGATAGTGACGTCAGAGACTCGGTCCRGAATGCTTTGCAGGCATATAAAGACAAAGTCAAGTCAACTCTTCCCSCTCAAAACAGCAGAGGCAGTTCTGTTGAACAAGTAGAACTGGTTACTTTTAAAGACAATTATGTGGGGACAGTTTCTTCGGTAAGTGGATTGAAGTATTTAGTAAGGCACCCTGACTGCTTTCGTTTCAGTAGCGTAGCGTTTATACGGACTTAAAGCGGTTTTCATGTGAGCGGGAAACTGTTTCACGCGTACACGTTTCTTGTTATATATGGACACAAAAGCTTTTTAAAGCTCACAAATGTTAAATACAAACATAGAAAATTTATTTGGTCGACTGCACCTAAAAGCGTGAAAAAGTTTTAAGCAAGTAGTGCTAAATAAATCAATATAGTGTAGATTAGATAATAGAAAACAAAGGAATTCGTATAATTCAGTACAATTTACCGTTATTCGATTACAGAAGTTTTTCATAGTTTTTAGTGTGTTTGCACTCTTTGACATATCATAACGTTCTTGTATTTCAGAAACAAGGTGGCGGAGACTTTGGACTAGTCATAACTGGAAAAAGTCTGGTAAATAGGTCTTTTCCATGAAACGGTCACATGTACAAAATCCGCCATTCTGGAGGGCAAACGAAAGTAAACAACCTCAAAAAGAAAAGGAGCGCAGTCCGTAAAGCTTGACTTTCTTTGTTTTGAACATCTCAGTGGGAATGTTGCTCTCCTGAATGGCCGATTTTGATTCAAGCATTAACTTACACAGCTTATGCCCTCTGGACAGACGAACCTCGTTCACATTCCACTAAGTTAAATCTCTCTTTTTTCCAAGGTGCATGCGTTGAGTAAAGATCTTGAGCTGGAGTTTCTTGAGTTGGCTTGTCTATGTAAAGCCGTAATCTGCTGCCGCGTTACCCCACTACAGAAGGTGTGTCACTTTCATTCCATATAAATATTATTGACATACGTATCACTTTTATTGTTTATGGTACAAGTCGTTGTAGATAGGTCTTTTATAAGCCTTTTATTTGTAAGATTTATGCGCTCGGGTTCCTATTTCTGAGGTGACGTAATCCCATAAACCCTTGCGATCTTATTGTAAAACAGTAAGCCCAGCACATAAAATATGTATTCCGTAAGCCAATAGGCTGATTGGTACCATCTTGAGGGGTAAATTCCCCATATGTTTTTAGTACCCTTAGGGTCTGTAGGGGGACGTGTCAAAAGACTAGCTAAAGGGGTTTGATTGACGTTTCGGACAAGGCAACACCACCGAATTTCATTGGTGTATTTTATTTTCTTTCTAGGCACTSGTWGTCGAGTTAGTTAAAAATAACAAAAATGCAGTCACGCTAGCAATAGGTGACGGTGCCAATGATGTCAGCATGATYAAGTGTAAGTATGMAGCTGTTTCAAGTAGGGTTGTGCAAAAGCCATTTATMAAAATGCGCWRTACAGGTTAAAAAATARATTGATAAACATACCTTAAGTTGATTAGAAGATGAGATGAGGAGCCATACACTACCGTAAAGAAGTTTAATTATCTCAAGCTTTCGTCGGTCGCCGACATTATCAGACACTCATCCATATGTAATATATACAATATGAGCGGGCGATCTGTATGTRATATACAACTCTCTTCATGGGCTATGATTTCTATTGTGTTTTGCCTTATGAATATTAATGAGTTTTATAACATCAATCTRCTGAAGCACAACTTCCTTATGTTAATAACTAAGCCGAGATTCAATTTTAAAGCTTTTTAACACGGCTGCCATGAAACGATTGTAGCAAACCTCTATAAGTTTCAAATTGATTGATTTGTGTTTTCAGCTGCTCACATTGGAGTTGGAATTAGTGGCCAAGAAGGCATGCAGGCCGTGCTAGCCAGTGATTATTCMTTTGCTCAGTTTAGATATCCTTTTCACGAGGAATTATGATTGCGTTTATAAAATGTACTGTATAAAATGAACAATATTGTTTGTTAGATATACCAAGAGCGTTCTTTAATTTAACGGTTAACAGACGCCCGCGAGGGACTTGCATCTAGATTATGCAATCAGTACTGGCTAGACTGCCTGTTGTTTGTTGGTAAAATTAAGCACTTATGGATGTTGCAAAACACACTAAAAAATGACGCGATTGTTTTGTTTTCCGATGCCTTAAAAGAGAGGAACAACGTTATTATAGCAAATGTTAATATTCTTCTCAATAATATTTTTTATCCAAGACTTTGTTAAATACCCCATATTTTTCGTTGACTTCGACGTGTCTTTAGTCTTAACCCACTTATGACTTTTTATAACGAAACAATATTATTCGTTTACTCTATACGTCACAGCGGCCATCTTGGAGAAACTTTTACAAAGGATACTCACTACAGTCAACTCTCGCTATTACGGACACCCTCGGGACCGTAATTTAGTGTCCGCAGTAGCGAGAGTCCGTAGTAACCAGTGTTACTTTCAGTCATTTCTTTTTATTTTTCGCCGGAGATTCAGTATTTTACTGTCCGCAATTTCGAGGTGTCCGTTGTAGCGGGGTGTCCGTTCATTCCTCCATCATGGCCACCGATCTCATGGGAATGGTTGGAAATGATCAGTTCTATCCTTAACGATAATTAGATATCTTGAACGTTTATTATTAGTTCACGGACGCTGGTCGTACATGAGAATGTGTAAATTTCTGAATTATTTTTTCTACAAGAATTTTGCTTTTACATTGATTCAACTTTGGTATGCGTTGTACAGTGGATACTCCGCTCAGGTAAGAAGATGTACTTATTGTATAGTAGTCTCCTTCACGGTTCCCTGCGCCATCTTGAAAGGTAGCCATGCCTTTGCATCGAAGCAAGACCGTTGAGCGTGTAATGAGAGAAACCTTCTTTCACACCTACAGACAAATATTCACAGGTTTCTATCATTGCACGCTCAACGGTTGTCTCGATTCGATGTAAATGCACGGCTACCTTTCAAGATGGCGCAGGTAACCGTGAATGTGACTATTGTTGTTGTTGTTGTTGTTGTTGTTGTCGTTGTAGTTGTTGCTGTTGTCGCAGTTGTTGTCGTCATTAATCTTCTTATCGATGCTATTGTCGTCGCTTTTGCCGTTGTTGCCATTATTCTTGTTGTCATTGTCGACGCTGTTTCACATTTTGTCGACTAATTCGTGCTCTCTTGGGAGCTAGAATCCATTGTTTTGTTTCCCTCATGAAGCTGCATTATCACGATCTGCAAGTCTGTATTCAAACAATGGTGCTTAACAAATCTAAATCAAATTCATTATCGTTTTAGACTCTCTACGATGCCTGGTTTATTTCATTTTATAACGTTCTCTTCACCTCTGGACCTGTCGTGTTCCTCGCCATTTTTGATCAGGTAAAAAATAATTAATCATCATCTCTATCATCATCACTATCACCATTATCGCCACCATCCGACCGGTATAAAGTTTATATGTACGTGAAATCATGTGATTTTTGGATAGAACATACACACGAGAGAAACGGTTTTTTGTAACAATCCAATAACAAGCATGATTTCTAATTTTTGGTTTGTGTTCGTAAAACGGAACCTGACAATTTTAGTATTGAATTTCCTCGTATTACAGGACGTCTCTCACACGAGCTGCATCAAGTACCCAAAACTCTACATACCTGGACAGAAGAACTTACTATTCAACAAAAAAGTATTCGCATATAGCCTTCTCTATGGTACACTGACGTCATTATGGCTGTTCTTCCTGGCCTATGGAGTCTTTCATTATCAAACMGTCGATTCTGGTGGAAAGGATACCGCTGACCTTAAATTCTTTGGTACTGCAATCGCGGCWTCTCTAGTTGTGGTCGTCAATGTCGAGGTAAGGAGCTGATATTTAGTATCTTTGAATTATTTTGCTTTTCTCTTTTTATCGTAATGCGATGCTTTTGAGGTCAATGAGTAATTAAATGAATTGAGATTTTTTTAAAAAGTGCTTGTCCGGGAACGTTTTTGAAATAAGCGATTTTTAATGACTGTGTCGMAATTTTGAATTGTCGTGTGACGTTTTATGGAAAGTGAAATTCCTGAAGTCCGTTTCATGCGTCTTTTTACAGTAATAAAGRTAGTCAATTTGTGTCAAGCAAAATGTAATACATTCGGCCATGATGATTTATAAGTTGTTATAAATTAGTCTTCACTTCGCTTTGGTAAACTATGCAACCTTGAGTTGCCACTAGCTTTAAGTGCTTAACAACGTCTCAAAAGTGGGCATGCTCTTGTGGTTTAAAAACATWCCCAGTTATTGGCCCAGTTAATGTTTGTTCTTATAACGAAACTACATTTATAAAGATTGATGCGTGCTTAGGGTTGTACTATATTGTCCGAATGCAAGCATAAATTTAAAACGCGAACGCTTAGTAAGGTGGCTAAGCGATATGGCACCAACACCTTATCTGCCTTTGTTAAAGTGCTTCGAACTTGACTCGCAATTACTGCTTTTTGACGTACTTGCCATTGCATTAAGATCGGTAAGACGATAGCTCTACTGTCAAATCAGTTTGGCAGTGCGGTACGATTAGCATGGATGTCATCCCGATCCTGATTTTGTTGTCCCAAACATTATTGATTCATGGATCTACAATCATTATCACTTTAAATCCGTTCAATACATCCGTTCATAGATCTGCTTAATGACSCAGTACTGGACTTGGATCAATCATTTCTTCACTTGGGGAAGCATCCTSTTCTACTTCGCTTTTTACTTCGTTTTCTACTCCGAATTTGTCTTTAACCTCACACCTCAGTTGCATTACTATGGCGTCCAGTTTCAAGTATTTGGGAACCCTGTGTTTTGGCTATATCTTGTAATAGCAGTTCTTTTCACGAACYTGCCTTCGTTGTCTCACAAGTTCGTGCGCTCTGAGCTCCATCCACAATACAGCGATGCTGTGCGACGTAAAGAACAGGGACGTGACCAGAAAATGAAGGTSAACGAGTTTAAGCCAAAGTTCAAACTACGTCGACAGTCAACGCGGACAAATTACGCGTTCTCTCATCAAGAAGGCTTTGGAAAGATTGTAATGTCACCGGCGTCCTTCTTAAGGAAATTTCGACGAAACGGAAGGTCTTAGAGAAGTAGACTTTAGGGGCTTTGTATATGGTGCAAGTCATTACAAATAGGTTATTTTAAGTAGACATAGCCTTAGCGATAAACATCACTAGCAGCATAAGGACAATAAAACTAGGAAACCATTGGGCTATTTTCACTAATACATACGCATAGCGATAAACATAAGCACAGTCACAAGAAAATAATTTGGCCATTTTTCTTAGTATAGTGTGCTTATTCTTGTGTTAATGTCTAGTGGAAAATCATGTTCCAAGCTTATGTTTATGTTCATCGATATGCTTACGCTTGAATTCGTTTTAAATATAGATTCCCTTTCCTAAATAGGAAGTAAAACAAAGCAAAATCAAGGTTAAAATATTGATAGCCTTAAGTTWATCCTAGGARAATCCAAAAGAACTACATGTCGTGGTTARAAGTTTTTMTTCGTTTCATACCACCAACCATGAACACAATTTTTGTATCACTGATCTCTCCAGAATTGTTTTGAATTGTCAATAATTTTTTAGTGGTTGCATTCCTCGCTATTGCAACTATTTTTAAACTTGAAATAGGATT